TATGGCATTGTGGCGGATCCGAGGATTATGATTTTGCCGCCTCAGAGGCCGCAGGTGAAGAAGAGTAGAAGAGGACCGAGGTCCCGCAGCTCTCAGTACCGTGGAGTCACATTCTACCGAAGAACGGGGAGATGGGAATCTCACATTTGGTAAGTTCACACTATTATATGATAGACGATAGACGATATCTATGTTTCGGATATGTTCTTCGATGCTTTTGTCAAATTTGCACAATATAATTAGACATAATCTGTGGATAATGCATGGGGAATGCTTAGCTAACACCAACTAATCGCTGTTGGAAATCGATACTTGCTATACTTGGGTTCATATTTATCCCTCAATGGGAATAATACTGTATTGAGAGTTTAGAGGAATCTCAAACAGTTGTTTGCAATACTGAACAATCTCTGATTAACATAATTCATCACCGATGTCCATAACACATTTGTTTAAGTATTGATGATCAGGTAATATCACTGCGTAATTTTGGTCATAGCTATATGCAGTAAGAAACATAGTAGATGATTTATCTCATTACCCATCACAAATTGTTCGATACTAATGTCAATTCTGATGGCTTTGTTTTTGTTTACAGGGACTGTGGGAAACAAGTTTACTTGGGTAAGCGAATGTTTTTAGTACATGTTATATTGATATATTGAAACATTACTGATATATTTTTGATGATCTATTCTTACTTTGGAATCTAAATTTGTTCATAGGAGGATTTGATACTGCCCATGCTGCTGCTAGGTAATGAATATCTTAAGCTGGGTTCTGCTTTATACTGGTCTTCTGGTTCAAATTTGCTGAGTTTATAGTAATGGAAGGATGGAATTAACTTGAAGAACCTCTACTAATATCAGGGCATATGATCGTGCTGCAATTAAGTTTCGTGGACTAGATGCTAATATTAATTTTAATGTCACCGATTATGAAGAAGATCTCCAGCAGGTTGGGTAGTATTATTAGTATTCATGGTGGTTCTGATATCCCATCACATTATCATTGTAAATTTTGTGAATACTATGCAAATGAAGAACTTAACAAAGGAAGAGTTTGTGCACATTCTCCGTCGTCAGAGCACTGGGTTTTCTAGAGGGAGTTCAAAGTATAGGGGAGTTACCCTACACAAATGTGGACGATGGGAAGCTCGAATGGGGCAATTTCTTGGCAAGAAGTAAGATTCTATTAGCTTCATTGTTGGTTAAAATGGATATCCATTTACATTATATAGCATTGTTAATAAACTGAGGAGTACATGTTCATATTGGTTAGCATATAAGATTTGGATGCAGGTATATCTACCTTGGACTGTTTGACAGTGAGATAGAAGCTGCAAGGTCCTATTATCATAAGTTCACTGTTTTCTCCTATATGTAATATAATCCAGCCTCAACATAACATTTCTTAAACTTAGTTGACTTGGAATTTGGTTTTGATTTTGATCAGGGCATAGGATAAGGCCGCCATAAAATTAAGTGGGAGGGAAGCTGTGACGAATTTTGAACTAAGCGCATATGAACAAGAGTTGACTTCTGAAGTTGATACTGGAGGTAAAGGTTCTTTACAACATCCCTCATTGGTAATCCTTGTTGAACATGTCCATTAATAGGACCCTGGCATTTCATGCAGGTGGCAGCCAAGATTTGGATTTGCATTTGGGCATTGCTCCTACTAGTTTTGTAGATGGCATGGGAACCCTCCAGTTGCAAAGTGGTTTAGCCAGTCCAAAGCATTGGGGAGTGGGGGTAAGTTGAAGGGCTTTGATTTAAAACTTTATCTCATTCTATGCAACTCTTTTCATATTTCTGCTCTTTTCCTTTCCATCTTAATTTTTTAATTGGTTTGTATTAGATAGTGCATTGAAACACTAAATTCTTCTCTGTGTTGTAACCGGTTTAAATTGTCCTCCTTCGTATGCAGACCTCTGCTTCAAATACAGTGGAATCTGAACTACTACCACGTGGCTTTGAATTGCTTTCTGAGCATCCTCCTATCTGCAATGGAGTAAATACTCAATTCTTTCCCATTTACAAGGTATCCCACTATCCTCTTGTCTAGCATGGTTTGAAGCATACTACAAGATTTCCATACATTTGTCTGTCATTATTTTTTACTCTCTAGACAATTCATTCTTTTCTTGCTCCTCCTGCTAATGTTCTAGGCCTACACTACTTTGAAATCTTTAAAGGAGTTAGTAACACCTGAACTCTGTGCAAAAATCATTTGAATGTATACATATTGAACCAATTGTTTAGTGAGTTATTTCCTTTCACCTCTGTGCGAAAATCATACTGGTCCCAATGAACTCTCTCTTATGGGCAAATATCTTATCTATGGCAGCTATTGTTACTTGTGATTTACGGATATTAAGTCACTTGAAAGAAAATTTGGTCTTTTAGTCACCATTGGTCAATTTGCCACTTAATGCAGGGAACAGCAATAGGGAAGGGCATGGAAATTAATTCCTCACCAAACTGGGCTCAAGCTTATGGTGGGACTCCTCCAGCAACACTCTTCTCTACTGCAGCATCATTAGGATTCGCTAACGCAACCTTTACTTCTTCCCCGGCTGCTCCTCGGCTACCTCATTTCTCTAGTGGAATGTTACCTTACCATCATTCTTCACCTCCTATTCCAACTATGAACAACACTGCTCACTTTTGCTGCCGGAGCTGAAGTCAACAGGTAGTCGGTTACTGCCGTCAATTCTTTCCTCCCTTAGTACTCTGAAATTAGGTAAGAGCAAAATGAACAATGACTGTTTTGGTAAGCACAAACAAACCGGGTTTTGGTTTCTAACTACGCATACAAGGCCATGTGCTGCTCTTCTCTGTTTTGAGTGATTTGTAAGACTGCATACAATAGCTTTAATAGTGTAAAAGCTCAAGGTTTTAGACTACATCAGAATGGTATGATAGGGTGCCACTGGTGCTCAAATTCATTTTTGCCTTTACATTTCTGCCTGCTGCACTAAACTCCGAAATGTTAATTCTGTGGCTTTTTCCCCTTTAATATGAAAGTATGAAACTGTCCAATTTTATTCTTGAAGTGCCTTGTTAATATTTCATTGCCGTATTTTATTTTACCTAACTTTTTATTGTTTGGACTAAGGCTCTCCACGTCGCCCCCTACTTTGGAAATGGTTAATTATAGTTTTTGTATTTTCCCATTTAACAACATCGGTTTCAACAACATTGAATTGACAACGGGTCAAAATCCGTTGTCTTTGGAAGAAACAACAACGGTTTAAAACCGTTGTCTATGTTCGTGACTTTTAACAACACCGGTTTTAACAACACTTAATAGACAACGGTTTAAAAACCGTTGTAGTTTCTAGAAAAGACAACGGTTATTAACCGTTGTCTATGTGCGTGACATACAACAACACCGGCTTCAACAACACTTAATAGACAACGGTTAAAAAACCGTTATTGTTTCTAGAAAAGACAACAGTTATTAACCGTTGTCTATGTGCGTGACTTACAACAACACCAGTTTCAACAACACTTAATAGACAACGGTTGAAAAACCGTTGTTGTTTCTAGAAAAGACAACGGTTATTAACCGTTGTCTATGTGCGTGACATACAACAACACCGGCTTCAACAACACTTAATAGACAACGGTTAAAAAACCGTTGTTGTTTCTAGAAAAGACAACGGTTATTAACCGTTGTCTATGTGCGTGACTTACAACAACACCGGCTTCAACAACACTTAATAGACAACAGTTAAAAAACCGTTGTTGTTTCTAGAAAAGACAACGGTTAAAAAACCGTTGTCTATGCGCGAGACTTACAACAACACCGGCTTCAACAACAGAAATTATACCCCTACGACAACGGTTATTAACCGTTGTCTATGTGCATTTTTCTTGTAGTGTATATATATATATATATATATATGACCGGCCATTATATTTCAACTACTAAACCCGGCCTAAAATAAAAAAATATAAAAAGGTACTTAAATTTCTTTTTATTTTTTATTTTTTATTTTTTATTTTTGAAGTGATAGAGTTAATTAAATGAATAAATCCTGATTAAGATTAAAATTAAAAATACCTATTCTATGAATGTCAAGTAATTTTATTTCCAGATGAGATGAGATCGTATAAAGTCTCTCTGGCCTCCATCTATCCCTCCATATGTTCAAATACTTAGGGACTCTCTAGCTAATTAGCTTATTGATTTATGTTTCCCTATCTGCATCCACTTTTTTACTTTTGGTCTCTTCTGATAGTTGATTGTTAAAATATATATATATATATATATATATATATATATATATATATATATATATATATATTAGGTAGATAGCTTGTTGGATTTGATTACATCTTACTTGTACGTCTTTGAAGTTGGCACCTTCATTGACTACATTTGGACATATATATATATATATATATGGTATGGGTTTAAAAGGATTAGTTTGAATATGGTATGGGCTTAAAAGTGTCTCCTACAATTAAGGGGACCACAAGTTTCAGGGCTCAGGCCAGTTGCCTGTTAAAACCAAGGCTCTAAACGCTCTAGCGAGCGTGTGCACGCGGCTAGGCGGAGAAACATAGCAAATTTGTGGGACCCACCGTTTCTGAAAAACCCAAGTTCTTCCCGCAACATACTCACTCCTTCTCTTTCCTCCACCTATACACTTCACCTGCAAAAATCTAGTAATAAAATCTCCCAAATGGGGTGGGTTGCTCTTAGAAGTGTTATTAAATCATTATAGTACTCAACAGTAGAAACTCTGGGTCACATACACCCAAATTAAAAAAAGTATCATATATGGGCCTTGGTCCATTTGATGTTACGTTGTGAGGTCTATCATATATATCCATCGGAGTGAATGCATACAATTATATTATATTAATTAATTAGTTGGTGCAGTCATGCTTTACTCTTTAAATTTAATTACAAAAATATAAAGTAAATAATGAAGCTAGGCCGGAGATGAGATCAGAAGAAATACATAATGCATACAGGCAGGCAGGTGACGATAATGTTATTTATATAGATGGTATTGTAATGTTATTACAATGACTAACATATATATATGCATGCAACTCGGCGCTCAAATGAAATGGAGTGGATTCATTCTTAGCTAGCTAGCTTGCATTGGGTTCACTACCTGTACGTACTATATACCCACCAATTCAATACGTACTACATGTATATATGTAGCGCAAAGCGAGGTCGTATGTAGCGTACAACCTAAGACCGATCGACTTCAATTCAATTGGATCCATATATCTAGCTCACATGCAAACTAAACAAATTAAAATGAAATGAATGATATACAGTACAGTAGAAATGGATGGGTATATATACTATGTCTCATTATCGATCTCATCAACCATTATATGTATATATATATATTAATGTGTAATTAATTAAGGCAGTGTGGGAGAAAGGGGAGGAGTGGGAAGCTTAAGTTGTCCGCAATCACTGATATACAGAGTGTTGAGAGGTTTGTTCCATATTGCCCTCGCGTTTTTGGCTCTCCCATCTCCCAGAAATTCTGCTATTCCATTATATTGCTGTATTCTTTCTGACGGCTTATATGTCGGAATTCCTGCAATCCTTCCAACCACATCCATTCCTGCATGCACATTATTTCATTTCATTTCATTTCAACCCTATTTAATTTAACACATAATTAATATTTTTAATAATTATATATAATTGATCAGGTAGGTACCTTCAACCACGGTTCCAAACACGATGTTTTTGCTATCAAGCTGAGGGCAGGGTCCAGGTCCAGTGGTGATCAAGAACTCCACGTTGTGATAATCCGGATTCATCTTTACGTCATTGTCGTCGTCATTCTCCGACAAGCACAACGACAATGTCCCCGGTCGAGAATGTTCCAACAAGAACGCCTTTGATTCCACCGTCTCCGTGTTCCTAACCAGCGACGTAGGCGCCTTCACTTCCCCTTTGTCCCGCCGCCCTTGCCTTCCCGCCAGGAAGAATTGCCCCGGGAATATTTTATTTACCAAACTGCCCTTGTAGCTCGACCCGGAGGAGCCTGTACACATGGCCTTGAAGTTGGAGACGGTGATGGGTACGAGGTTGCCGTATAGGCCCAGGACTACCCGCCCGACAGCCTCTGCGTCGGCGCAGAGGGCCAGGTCGTCGCCCAGGGTTCGGTTCACGAAGTAGGTCGGGCAGATGCTGAAGTCTAGGAAGACTCTGTCGGTGATGGTGGTGTCCGGCGACGGCGAGGGGGAGGAGTAGGAGAGTGGCGCTGGGAGGGAGAAGCCGCCCAGGGTGGTGGAGAGGAAGAGGAGGGAACGGCGGGAGAGGTGGAGGTGGGTGGCGCGTTGTTTTGGGTGGTGGGGAAGGAGGAGAGAAGAGGGGAGGAGGGTGGCGGAGATTCCCATGACCATCGAGCTGAGAGTGACATGCTTAGGTTGGATCTGTCGCCGTGTAGCATCGAAAGAGGATAGAGTTTGATTGCGTATTGCTTCAACGAATCAACGCCACACAAGCTAACGAGGATAAATCCACACACATTTTAATAAATAATCCAAAAAGGCATGTAAAAATCCAGTCCTTATATCATGGACCAAGTTCCACCTTTTAAGGTGGAATTTAATCTTAAATTATATATTTTTAGTATTAAAATTGTGAACTTCTATAATATAGATTGTATTTTTAAATTTTGAGAATTTGTAAATTTTTATTTGATAAACTGTGAACATTTAGTATGTAAATTGTGTACATTTGAACTCGTATTCTCCTCGCAATGTGAATTCGAGTCCAAAAAATAATTTCCTGTAAAAATCTGCCTCCTTAGCTATCAACTGGAGTATAGTTATTTGGGGTGTTTGGAATTAACAGATAGCTAATAACTTATTAGTTGATAGATCAATTTGGAACTTATTCAAATTCGATGACTTAGTTGCTATTACTAAATAATTCAATGACCTATTTGTACTATTTTCTAAAATTTTATATGTATAAATTTTAATCATTAGTCCACCTATGTAATATTATGTAGGTATGGGACAAAGTATAAGTATGGATACGTGTTAAATAAATATATAGTACATGATGTCGCTAAGTGACGGAATAGGTATAGAGAGAAAAATTTTAATTTCAACACCAGACAATTTTTTTTAGTTGAAATTAATGATATATGAAGTGAATCAGTTAAGGTATATTTAGGTTTTCGTGGTAATTAAAATAATATTTAAAATTGTAGTTCGGTTGCATACATGTTCTAGAATTATCAAAGTAGAAGAATGTTGAATAATCCAGAAAATGCATGTGGGGGCCTAGAAATATCTATCTGATCCTGGCCCCCAACTAAAATTGCATGCATGTAGTTAATAGTTATGGATATAAATAGTAAATTTGAAAATTTTGATTCAACCCTATGGAAAAAATGTACACGTATTATACAATATAATTTTATTTAGGGGTGTTTGGTAAATGACCGTTAGTTGATAGTTGTTAGCTGATTGGATTAGTGGGTTTTACTAGTTGATAGTATTAGTTGATTGTAGAAAAATATTTAGTAAATTAATTATTAGTTGTTAGCTGTTAGCTGATTACATACAAAATGACTTTCTCAAAAAGTTGATCAAAAAAACTACTTTGAGCAACTTTTTTAATTTTAACATTTTGAAGTAATAAGTTGTTACAAAAAACTAATTAATCAAGAACTCATATTAATTATTTTTATTTTTTTTGATGAAGCTCATATTAATTATTTAATCAAATTAAACAGCTATTAATGGTCAAATAAGTCAGAATTAGCTTATAGACTTACTATTTTTACCAAACAGAACCTAGTCTTTGCATAATGGTCCAACTTAGCTTCTTCTAGTATTGTACGTGTGGAAATGGATGCTAGTCGGCTTGGTGAAATTGTACCTCCAAGAAATCAGATTCCATGCATCCAGAGTTTTTTCTTACCTATCCTATTAGTGGCCTAATCGAGCGCTCGAATATAGATTCTCTATGCTCATGTAAATGGCCGGTCCGTAGGTTTAAAATTAAAGGATTCATTCATTGATCTAATGGGATATCGTTTGTTCACAAACAAAATAAAAATCAAATAAGTTTTTAGTAATAGTTCGATCAAAAAGAATAGAATATAGAGTCCTAATAAAATTCACACATTTTATAGAATAAATCATCCAAAAAGACATGTAAAAGAAATTAGCCTCAACTCCTATCAACTGGAGTTATTGCCTTAGTGCCTTTGTTGGTTGAATCCAATATTGATATCGGTTCAATTAGCATAATATAATTAACATATCACGACGCAAAATGCATGGTGTACCTTTACATGAACAATTTACATATTAACATATTAATACTTTAATAGTACAATATAAAAGCTTCGTATGTACGTAGTGATCTAAATTTCAAGCCTTAGTCCGCCTATGTAATATGTATGTAGGTATAGCACAAAGTATATAACATGTTGACTTGGTAATAATCATAAAGTTACAAATTTAACTTACATTAATGGAGTGATCTCTGACTGTCTTGGTTTGAGCCCGTCAGCTAGGTACGTAATCTAGACTGTTTTATCTCATTGTGATATTTTATTAGTTAAAGTTACACAATACGATTTTTGAGCAAACACTTAGATAAAATCACAATATAAAGTTTATTCAATATGCACATTTATATAGTGGCTTTATGGTTTCTTCATTACTCAAAAAATCTGTGTGTGGTTTTGATATTAAATAAATATATAATGTATGGTGTTATTTAGTGATCAAATAGAGAGACAATTTTTAATCCCAACCTCTACAGATTATTATTTTTTATTGGAATTAATGATATATATATATATATATATATATATATATATATATATATTTAAGATCATATGAGAACATGTGCTTAGGTGAGAACGTGAGAACACATTATGTGCATTCATTTAATATTTTTTAATGGTCTAAAATAGATTAAGTGTGTGCGAACACGATTTGGTATGTTTGCACACATTTAATGTGCGTTCGCACACACTTAATCTAATCTTGACTATTAAAAAATATTAAATGAATGCACATAATGTGTTCTCACGTTCTCACTTAAGCACATGTTCTCACTAAAATCCTACCCTATATATATATATATATATATATATATATATATATATATATATATGAATTGGTCTAATTTAAAAAATTGTAATGCGCGCGGTTGGATGCATGTTTTCTAGAAATATCAAAGTTGAATAATGGAGAAAATGCATGTGGGAGCCTAGAAATATCTCTGACGTCTGAACCCGGCCCGGCCCCCCAACAAAAATGTAATTCAACGGCCCTACGGAAAGAAGGGCAAATTATGCTCTGGACCCGTGTCCACATTGAATTGTGGACACGGGCCCAAAACGACGTCGTTTTTTTAAAAAACGCGTCATTTAGTTAAAAAAAAAAAATTTCGCGCGTGTTTTGCCGTTAACGGCGTTATATTTTTTTTTGATTATGAATGTACAGTTATGCCGTTATGAATGTACAGTTATGCCGTTATGAAATTATGAACACAGAGCTCTAACATTATGAACTTACAATTATGAACATATATAGTGATAAAATTATGACCATGGAGCTTTAAAATTGTGAATATAGAGCTTCGAAGATTATGAATGTACAGTTATAGAGTTATGAATCTACAGTTATGGAGTTATGAATCTACAGTTATGAGATTATGAATCTACAGTTATGGAATTATGAATGTACAATTATTGATCGAATTATGAACAAAGAGCTCTAACATTATGAACTTACAATTATGAACATATAGTGATAAAATTATGAACATAGAGCTCTAAAATTGTGAACATAGAGCGTCGAAAATTATGAATGTACAATTATGGAGTTATGAATGTGCAGTTATGACGTTATGAATGTACAGTTATAGAGTTATGAATGTATAGTTATTAACATATAGTAATAAAATTATGAACATATACTTCTATAACAAAGTGATCTGAAATTTAAAAAAAAAAAAAAAAAAAAAAAAAGAGATAACAGTGCCTAACGGCACTGTTACCCGTGTCCAGCAAGCATGCTGGACACGGGTCCAAGGCATAACGATTGGGAAAGAAGTGTACACGTATTATACGTACAATTGTATAGTCTTTTCGATCTCCGTGCATTGTGGTCCGACTTAGCTTCTTCTAGTGTTGTACGTGTTATGCATTCACTGAATTAATGTACAAAACCATCCAACTATCTAACGCATATGTATTCCTTCTGCAATTTGCTAGCTAGCTAGCTACCATATATACTAGCCGCCTTGTATTACAATCCACGATCGACACCTATATTGCTATATATATATATATATATATATATATATATATATATATATATATTCATAGTTAAAATTCTACTGGACTCCAATTTTATGTTTTTAAATAAAATGTTTTTTAAAAATTATATTATTATAAATGGCCTGTTGAGGTGTAATCTGAACGTACCAACAAAAAGTTTGATATCAAGGAAAAACATTAATTACATTCAGATATACTCAACTAACTAATCAGACAGTTAAAAGCTGGATCTGTTTGATTAGTAAGAGTGTAGAAATTGGTTGGGCGAAAATGACGAAATTGTTAATTAAACGAACCGACCATGCACGTGATAGGCGGACTAGCTGTAGGTGGGTGTGCCAATTAAGGAAAACGTTAAGGTAACATAGTGCCACCCATGTGCCACCACTAAATTCAGATGTATATGTGCATGTTTTATTCCATCCACTCTCATCTAGCTGTAAAAATGTAAGATCCAGCTACAAAGTTTTCTATTATTAATAATTAATTAATTAATTAATTATACATACATACATACTACTCCTACATAAAAATACATGATTAATCCAAATGATTTTTTTTTTTCATTAATTCAATTCGATCTCTCTTCCCATTTTGGAGGTCAGGTCCCTACAGGACTCACAATTCACAAGGGAAAATACAGTATAATTTAAGGAAATTAAATATATGGATGTATAATGATTTAGGATTAATTAACATGGAACAGAATTAATTATAATCAACGCTAGCTGTTTAATTTGTTAAATTCAACGAACGCTGCGCTATTATCCAAATCAAATAATAATTCTGGAATTAAAGGAAAAGAAACAAATTAATTCAAGAAAATTAAAAAGTTACACATATATATGCCTCGATCAGCTCAAACCTTGCCGGATCCTACTCGTCTTCTTCATCAATCGAGAATATCATGGAGCTATTTCTCTTACGCGCGATACTGTCATTGGCGGAGGCCACGGCGGCGGTGGGGGAGCAACAGGGGGAAGGCGACTGGGATGCGGCGGGATCGACGGCGGCGGCGGCCAAAGCTAGACAACCGTCGCTCCAGGATCGGCGGATGGGGTACGACACGTGCGCGTACTTGAGGGAATGGTGGCAATTCCCGCGCGATTTGTGCAACGCGCAGCCGCAGTTTTTGTGGTAGGGGCGGCGTTGGATGCCGGTGTCGTGCCCGGAAATGCTCCCCTCGAACATACCCCGAAGAAACCCATCGCCGGCCGCTCCGGCGTTCATTTCTGTATAGCGCCGGCCGAGCGTGCGCTTGCTTGCTCTTCAACACGATTTATATGAATATTATGAATTTTGTTAAACGGAGAAAAAAAAAAAAAAAACAAAAGGGCAGAGGAGAGATGAGATGGGAGAGAAGAAAATGGAGAAATAAATAAAAACTGGAATTGAAGCTAGGGAAGAAAGCTAAGAAATAAAAAAGGTTGGGTTGTTATTTTCTACTCTGATCTAACTCCTCTCCTCCTACTAGTATTCTTCTATTTATATTGGCTTCTTAACTCATATGTCGCCGCCATACGCGGCATTCCCGCTGTTTTTACCGCTACCTAGTTTATATATTACTCGATCTTGACTGCAGATTTATTGCCAATACATACATAACTTAATTTAGTTTATTTTGCATTTTATTTCTTAATTTATACTAATATTGCTAGTCACGATGATGGATGACTTTGATTCCTTCTTTTCATTTTAAATATTCGATCAACTTTATAAAAAATTTCAATTTTTTGTCATTTAACTTCAACTAGCATTTTATATTACACCGTAATTCATAATGTTCAAAACATCTTCACAAATTTGATTTGTCAATTAATTCCTTCTATATCGAGTCCATCGTACAAGATTTCCCTAATGTAATTTATCTCTTACATATAGTTTGTGTACTATTACACACAAAGACGAAAATTGCTTAATATATACCCTCAAATATTGATAACAGGTTTCCCCCATCTTCTAAAACAAATACCTTCAATTCATTCAAAATAAGTATTGAATCCTCTAAATTATCTATTAGTATTATTTGTTTGAACTAATTAGTTATTGACAAACTATATTAATTTATTTTTTTCTTATAATTTCTTAACTAAGTTGTTTTAAAACATATTTTTAAGTAGGGATTATGAATTTTTAATAATTAAAAAAGAATTGAGTCATTTTTTTTGGAAATGGAAAGACAGGTGTTATTTGTTGGGAGTGTCCCCATTTATATTCTTAAGCTGAGCTACTACTTTGACTATTCAATTATATTCCGTCAACAGTTCAACACCCTTTGCCTTTCGCTGCGCTGGAAATGCTCAAAACCATCATAAACGCTCTACATCACACGCCTGTATTAAATCATACATACATTATACTAAAAACAAAATCATATTTCATATTCACTAATATGCGAATCAACACACAAATTATTCCAATCAAGATTATGTGTATTGTGCACTAGAATATGAGATTGTGATATTTATATACAAGTTTGCAAATTCTCACGGAAGGTGAGTAAAGCTCTATTTACTCTTTCTTTTTTTTTTTTTTAATTAGTTGGTTGTCAAGTATGATGATCTATTGTTAGGTGATTTGTCAAATTTTACTTAACGTATCATAATGCTACTTATAAATGATAAAGAGTATATCTTGTTTAAAATATGCTTATAATAAATATAAGGGAGAGAGTCCTTCTAATTGTTAAAAAAAAAAAAAAAAAGGATAATTTTAATTTCAGTTTTCACATATGGGATCTAAGAAATAAAAACATTAGCTAACTGTACCTAATTTTTTTTTTTAAAAAAAAAAACAATTCAATACTTACAAGTATTATTGTATTACACGAAAGAGTGCAGAGGTTAATAATGAATATAATGAATGATGTTTTTTCCAGACGTGTTGAAATTGTTGATTGAGCTTTTTATCCCAAATTTTTGCAAATCACACCAATTTCTGACCTACTGTACCTAAGCCTCTTTAATTTTAATTTTTTTTTTCTCTCATTTACAAATTTTATATCCCTTGTAATAGTTTGTAAACAATACTTCAAGTTAAAATGCTAGCTAGCTAGTTGGCAAATTATTGTGTGAACCATGATCTACACATCGTTGTGTTGACCATAACAAAAAGTACATTTTGAATATACTAAAAGTATATTATTCGTGTACTGAATGTACATTACACAAAATAATGTACTTTTTTTTAATACAATGTACATTTTTAATATACTAAAAATACATTATTTGTGTACTGATCCACATTATTTGATAATATGGTCCACACAATAATAACTGTAGCTAGTTAGGGACTTATAATCAAACCCTTGTAAGTATTGGGTTTATAATACATCTTTCAGCCCAATTAGCATTGAATGTAGGCTTAGAAATTAGAATCAAACACTTGTAACTATTGGGCTTAGAAATTAGAATACCTCTTTCAGCCCAATTCGTATTTGAGATTGGACTTAGAATCAAACACTTGTGAGCATTGGGCTTATAGTGCCTCTTTCAGCCCAATTGGCATTGGACTTAGAATCAAACACTTGTGAGTATTGGGCTAAGAGTGCCTCTTTCAGCCCAATTCGCATTGCATATTGGACTTAGAATTAGAATCAAACACTCGTGAGTATTTGGGTTAGAATACCTCTTTCAGCCCAATTCGTATTGGATATTGGACTTAGAATCAAACACTTGTGAGTATGACATGTGTCGGCCCAATTAGCATTGAATATTGGACTTAGAATCAAACACTTGTGAGTGTTGGGCTTAGAACACCTCTTTTGGCCCAATTTTCATTGAATATTAGACTTAGAATCAAACATGAAAATTATGCTATGGACCCGGGTCCACCTTGCAAGGTGGACCCATGTCTAAAACGCGCGTTTGGAATAACAGTGTCGTTAGTGGCGCCGTTTCCTCAGCCAATGATATTTTTTGTGTGAAAATAGAGTTCAAATATTAGGAATGTAGAGTTCACAAATTGTGGATATAGATTCAAAAATTGTGTTATATTGTTGAATATAAAGTTCTGTAATTATGAATATAGAGTTCTTTAATTGTGAATATAGAGTTATGAAATTATAAATATAGAGTTCTGTAATTGTGTAAATAGAGTTATGTATTTGTGAATATAGAGTTCAAAAATTTATGAATATAGAGTTCTGCAATTGTGAGTATTGAGTTTTGTAATTTTCTATATTGAGATCTAAAATTGTGAATATAGAGTTCTAAAATTATGAATATAGAGTTCAAAAATTATGAATATAGAAGAACAAATTCTGAAGACAAACGGTAATGAAGGAAGTAAATTTTTCTTTTAAATTTAGACGGCGTCGTTTTAAAGCAAAACGACGTCGTTTTGACCATGAGTACACCTTGCAAGGTGAACACGGGTTCATGGCATAACTATTGAATCAAACACTTGTGAGTATTGGGCTTAGAACAACCTCTTTCGGCCCAATTCACATTGAATATTAGACGATACATTTTTGTGTGGACCATGAGTACAATGTACATTTTTAATATATTGGACTTCTATTTAGGAGAGTCATTTCGTGCCGCTAAAACCATAAAGTCATTAGCAAATGTACATTATTTGATGGTATACAAAATAATGTAATTTCAGACTTTCAGTACTCAACTAATTTATTTTTTATTTGTAGTTCATACAGATGTGTGGGTCATAGTCCATGGAATAATGAATGATATTGGACTTAGGGTCCGTTAGAAAAGCAGGAAAATGACTTCTTAAAAATATTTTCTGGAAAATGACTCATTTTTCGTAAAATATTTTCCTTTTTAGTGTTTAGTTGCACAACAGAAAACTGTCTTTGTATGTTTGGTTCGTTTTTCAGAAATGAGCAAAATTGTATACTACACCATTTTGATTGTTATAATGCAAAGAGAGATTTAGTTTGTCTAGGATTGTGTAATCTTCAAAAGTTTAACAATAAATTTATTTTAACCCCATGTATAAACCCCAAACAATAAATTTATTTTAAAAAATTTTTTTTAAAAAAAGTGGACTGGTTTCTGTTGCCGGAAACCAGACCAGAGCACTTGTTTGGTTTTCGACAAGGAAACCAATCACCGGAAATCAATACATTTCCGGTGGTCGAGATGGAAGTGGCGCGAAGAAGGTCTCCTTGCTCGTGCAAAGAAGAGGAACGAAGCGACGCGAAGAAGGCCTCTGTGGTCGTGCAAAAAAAGAAGGAAGCCTCTCTATGGTCGTGCGTAGAAGCAGAAAATGACTTCCCCTAAAAAAAAAAAAAAAAAAAATTGACTAAACTTCATTTTACATTGACTTTAGTATTTTCCACATTGCCAAACACTGGAAACCCAAAAATGATTTTCAGAAATCATTTTTCGAGTTTCCAAACACGTTGTATCCAATACCTCCGAGTATTGGGCTTATAGCATCTCTCGCCCAATTCGCATGAATATTAGGCTTAGTATGATTTCATAATCAGATCTCTCATAGTGCACTTTTCATGACTCACGCAAAGGAATTGAAATTGACTTCAGTTGTACTGTTACAGAGATTTTTCTTTATAAAAAAACAAAGCAAAAAACAAAAATGGATTCAAGTGTGCAAGAGATTTTGTCAGGGGCATAATAGTCATTGAGTTTAATGTTTCAGAGAGTGTGAAGATCTCACACCGACGGTCACGGCAAGAATTGGTATATAATGTATCCGTCATGACTTTCTAGTCCTCTGCTCTGTTTTTCTCATTCTCTCTCTAAATCTTCTGTAGCAGTGCCGCGTTTTTTTCCTTCTGCTAGAGCCTGGAGGTGAGTTAGATCTATAACTTTCCGTTTAATGTTTCTATTTTTCTTTCCTTCAATTCAATGCCATTTTCAACTGAATACATTCGTAACATCTTCCTTGTATTGATTGGATCTTGATGTGCTTTGAAACCGCATAATTCTTGACATTGTACTTTGGTTTTCTTGATCTAGGTCAGCCAGATCTGATCAACCAACCAATACAAAATGGGGTTTAAGATCTGGGTTTTATTTATGTGCTTGGTGTGGGGATTGGGTCATGGGTTTTATCTGCCGGGCAGTTACCCTCACATATATGGGGTTGGGGATTCGTTGAATGTGAAGGTCAATTCACTCACTTCAATTGACACTGAGATGCCTTTTAGTTACTATAGTTTGCCCTTCTGTCAGCCACAAGAGGGCATTAAGGACAGTGCTGAAAATCTTGGTGAGCTCCTTATGGGGGACAGGATTGAGAACTCACCCTATAAGTTTAAGATGTACACAAACGAAACTCAGACTTTCCTGTGTCAGTCAAAGCCATTGTCTGGGGAGGAGTTTAAGCTCTTGAAGAAGAGGATTGATGAGATGTATCAGGTGAACTTGATCCTTGATAATTTGCCTGCAATTAGGTATACTCCTAATGATGGGTTTTTCTTGAGGTGGACTGGTTACCCTATTGGGATTAAGGTTCAAGATTCATATTATGTGTTTAACCACTTGAGGTTTACTGTTCTTGTTCATAAGTACGAGGAGACCAATGTGGCTCGGGTGATGGGTACTGGGGATGCGGCTGAGGTCATCCCTACAGTTGGCAAAACTGGATCTGAGGCACCAGGGTATATGGTTGTTGGGTTTGAGGTTGTCCCTTGTAGTTTCCAGCACAATGCCGAGTCATTGAAGAACTTGAAGATGTATGGTAAATACCCATCTCCAATTAAGTGTGATCCTACTACAGTTGGAATGGCTATTAAAGAAAGTGAACCTGTGGCCTTTTCGTATGAGGTCAACTTTGTTGAGAGTGATATCAAGTGGCCATCGAGGTGGGATGCATATTTGAAGATGGAGGGGGCAAAGGTGCACTGGTTCTCTATTCTCAACTCTCTCATGGTTATTACTTTCTTAGCTGGAATTGTGCTTGTGATCTTCTTGAGGACTGTTAGACGAGATCTCACAAGGTATGAGGAGCTTGACAAAGAGGCCCAAGCCCAGATGAATGAGGAGTTATCAGGGTGGAAACTTGTTGTTGCTGATGTGTTTCGAGCACCAAGTAATCCAGCATTGTTGTGTGTGATGGTTGGAGATGGAGTTCAGATCCTAGGAATGGCAGTGGTGACTATTCTGTTTGCTGCTCTTGGATTCATGTCCCCAGCTTCGCGTGGAACATTGATTACGGGTATGCTGTTTATCTACATGATTCTTGGTGTTGCAGCTGGCTATGTTGCTGTTCGTCTTTGGAGGACAATCTTTTGCGGTGATCACAAGGGCTGGGTTTCGGTTTCATGGAAAGCTGCCTGTTTCTTCCCTGGTATTTCATTCCTTATACTCACTACTTTAAATTTCTTATTGTGGGGTAGTCAAAGTACAGGAGCCATTCCATTCTCCCTGTTTGTTGTTCTCATTCTGCTATGGTTCTGCATCTCCGTTCCCCTTACCCTGGTTGGAGGATACCTTGGGGCAAAGGCACCTCACATTGAGTATCCAGTGAGAACGAACCAAATCCCCCGTGAAATTCCTGCTCAAAAATATCCATCTTGGCTATTAGTCCTTGGTGCTGGTACCCTACCTTTCGGCACACTTTTCATTGAGCTATTCTTTATCATGTCGAGTCTGTGGATGGGGCGTGTATACTATGTGTTTGGATTTCTGCTGATTGTTATGATCCTACTGGTGGTGGTGTGTGCTGAGGTGTCGCTTGTTTTGACATACATGCACCTTTGTGTGGAGGACTGGCAGTGGTGGTGGAAGTCCTTCTTTGCTTCTGGATCTGTTGCCATATACATTTTCCTATACTCTGTGAACTATCTGGTGTTTGACCTGAAGAGCTTGAGCGGACCTGTTTCTGCTACCCTTTACTTAGGGTATTCTCTTTTCATGGTTCTGGCAATCATGCTTGCAACCGGTACAGTTGGCTTCGTATCCTCCTTCTGGTTTGTGCATTACTTGTTCTCTTCTGTGAAACTGGATTGAAACACAACAACATTTCCAGGCTCTCTCTCTCTAAAGTCTAAAGCTAGGAGGAATACGGGACAGAATATCATTGAGAGTATACTATATTATATTTCTTGTATTATTATTATTATTATTCTTGTTTCATAGGGAGTAAGAAGATGTGAAGATGAACAATAAACATCACCCACCTGTTCTTTGTTAAATTATTATTTGTTTCTTAGATGCAAGTAGGAGGATATTACTTAAACTGCTTTCTTTTATAGAGGTAAAAAAAATAATTACTTTCCAACAAACCACCACTTGTGTGGGATGATATCAGAATTGTGTTGCCTAACTTAACTACACAGTGACAGTTATGGAGATAATAATATAGTCAGCTATGACATAATGGCGACAGTTTGAGTTGTGAGTAGTCTTAGGCAAACAAGGAGGCGAGTTTGGAGGCAAGCTTTTCACTCTTGTAGTCATCTCGAAGCTGAATAAACCTATCATATCAAAAAACACATGAGAATGGATGTATGTGTATCATCAAAAAGAAAAGAATAGAAACAAAACTTACTTCTGTGCGTCCTTCCTGATACTTGGGGTTCCCTCAACTAGAGAGGACAGGCTTTCAGGAGCAACAATAAACACATTTGCCATGCTACAATAAAAACACCATTAAGTTAGGAGGGGAATTCATTTCTTTCTTTCTTTCTTTCTTTCTTTATTTATAATAACAAACTCACATGCCCAGCATTTCAAATTTCTCATCCACTGGAGGAGTATTGAACCCACGCACATACTCCCCATACTCTGTTATATCACGTTTCATGCGCAACCCTCCACTGCAAAACTCAACCATATATAGGGACAACATTTATACTTAATTCATCAACAAATTTGGATTTATATATTATATAGATAAACATCTTCATTTATTCTCTAATTTTTAATTACTAATTTTCAAAAATCTCTCTCCAGGGAGAAAATTGGATTTTCACATGTGTAATGCACTTCTACATGAAGCATAAGGCTTCAAAGGCATAGATAGATAGATCTTCTAAATCTTATGCACAACTGTTCAAATATTATTATATTAATATACAGCCTGTGGAGGATGGATGGTTCTTCAATCTTAACACACACACACAGCTAAAAAGGTAAAAGTGATTACCTAGGATTAAAAGTAAACTTCTGCCAGTGATTAAGCAACCCTTTATGGAGACGATTCCCCTGAACACAATTTTACAATGTTATTCCAAATATAGAACAAACCATTGCTCACAAACTCCATATATTTCAAACTGCTTTTGGAGAATACAACTGCCATTGTGTTACATATCCACATTACTATATAATCAATACGAAATTGATAAACTAGCCATTAGTAACTACTATAATAATCTCTTCTTTTTTATTAAGTGATGAAAACACAATCATAACTATTGCATAGCCTCACAGCATAAAGAACCACCATAAGCAGATTACCTTCTTCAGTTCGACAAACAATATAATTCAAATTATTAAACAACACATAAAGAAAATCATATAAACTTGATCACCTAGCCATTAATAACACTATAGCAATAACAACATAAGGTGCTATGTCAAAAAGATGCATGTTAAGTGCTGGTTTGCCCCAAACTACTTTTGGGCTTATATACTAAAAAAAAAACTACAAGTTGGACAACACTAAAATGGTTTTTCTGAAGTAAATAAGCTGGCTGCTTTTACTCCTATCTACAAGTCTCAAGCCCTTTTCTTCAACAAGGTGGACAAGTGGTGCATGTTTAATGAAGCTATTAAAATTTCCTTTTTGTCCAAATGTATATGGTATACCAATTAATCAGAATTAGACTAAAGCATCACTAAACCAATAGATGTTCTTTATTGTAACCTTGGCTACCTTTGGAAACAAGTTTGACTATTAAATCATCCAGAGTTTGTCACTTTGTCTATTGTAAAAATAAAAATAAAAAATAAAAAGAAAAGAAAGAGCTTTTAATGTGCATTTGGGCAAACATAATAAAACCTTATTCCACTTGTTACTTTAAAAAATAACTTCTGATGGCAGATAGGAAGTGTTGAGAGGAGATAGAAACGATGGAAATAAAGAGAAAAGAGAAACAAAGAGGATAGAGAAGAGAAAAGGGGAGCGAATTCATAATCTTTTTTCAATAATCATTAAAAGCTATCAATATTATGAAAGGCCCATATTAATAGGCAAGGAAAACTAAAGTGACTGACCAATAAATTGAAGAGACACTACCTAATGAACTAAAGAGACTTTGATGAATAAAGCATTTAAGGTGTGCTATTTGTTACTTCTCTACTCATTTATTCCATTTGAAAAGCTTCAGCCAGGCTAAGCTTACTCTAAAATACACACACACACACATGCTGCTCAATTGCTTTGATGTTTCTAATAAATTTATAATACATAAAAAATTAGAGTGGCTAATCCTCAAACTTATAAATTATGACGTGCATTCATAATATGAAAAACACAAAACCTTTCAAAATGACAGTAGCCCCAATCACTTAAAAGTCAGCTCAAAACAACAGAAGAAACAGTTCAAGGGTTCATGATCAAAATATGGAGAAAACAAGGAAACGGAATGAATTTTACAGATACATAATATCTTATATTAACAAATAATGAAGATATAAACACATTTTAAAGCAAATAAGATAAAGGATATACCACTTCAGTAAGAAATGCTTGTTTATTTAGCCCATCTAGTGCAGTAAATGCAGATTCAAGTACTCGGGATGAGTAAGCAACAACTCTGACAAAGGAAAACCTTGTTAATATTTGATAATATAAAAATAGAGAAGCATATACTGGGTAGAAATAAGAACATACAATATGATGAAGAAAAGAGACATGTATCAGATATTCCAATACTATGTTATAAGATATTAGAGGATTCATTGTGCAACTTAGTATATAAATATCCTTTTACAATAAATAAATACATTAAACTCAAGATGATATTTTCATTTCATTATGTTATGCACCTTGCACAGGCAATGGTTGGCCGATGATCTGGGATAATGCAATCATCAGCTGACCTATAATCTGTAGCCTTCTGTTCCGTTGATAGCAAACGTTCCACCTATGCAGTGTTTCAAATATATAGTTAACACCTTTTTTCAACAGCCCCCCCCAAAAAAAAAAAAAAAAAAAAAACGATTTAAAAAAAAAATGTGCCACCAAGGGAGGAAAGCACCCAGATATTAGCACACAGGAGTTCAAGTTAGGATGAACAATTTTTTGGGTATATTAACAGAACATTAGGAATGAGATAATACAGAGAACCCCTGCGTACAAGTTTAACCACATACCTCAGCCATAACAGTTTCAATGCATTGTTGAAGCCCCTTATAAGCACAACTCTCTGCTCTAGACAAAGCCGATGCCATTTCTTCACAGGCAGCAGCATGGGCACCATCAATGGGTAATAAAAGACGAGATATTGAGTTGGCAAAGTACTGCAGAAAAGTGTCCATTGCAATTGAAACAAATATCAAGTATTTTCTTACAGCTTCAAGGGAAGAGTAAACAGCAATAGAAGAAATAAAAAAAGAAAATACTTGTTGCACAATAGCCACACTGCTTCCACAACATTGAACAGCCACCATGAAAGTTCTGAAACTGCTTTCACCAGCAGCAGCAGCAGATTCTGCCTGCACATTACCAACCAAATCATTACTCAGCCAGCTTAGGCATAAAATATTCTCTAAATAGGACAGATTCTTAGAAGCAATCTTGAGTAAATTTCAAACTGAATAAGAAGGTACAAGTACTTACATTAGAAGTACCTCTTCTACTAACGCTACTTGCTATAACATATCTTTCCCTTAAAGCTGCAGCTTCAGTTAGGCTGTTCCTGGCTCTCTCAAGGCCTTCAGTAATGTATATACTAACCTGGAAAACAACAAATAAACAAGGCATAGCAGATAGAACCGAAGGGTCAAAAGGATAATAAAGACTAACAAAAGGAAATATGAAATAATTCTGAAATAAGAGAAACCAACACAGAACTAAATCAGACAGCAATTCTTAGAGGAGAGCAATCAGTCAGTGATATCAATGGTCTAAGGTGTTACAAAAAATAGTGAAGGCCAGATTTTTTGGATTTTAAAAGATCTACAGGGTGGAATCACCAAATATGGCTCCTTGTGCAAACTCAGGTACACTGAAAATAAATGTTAGACCACGGGTATTATAAAAGAGCTTGGACGCCAATAAATGTTGTGCAAACTCCTGGACGCCACCAAAGTGGACTGAACAAGCAGCTTGGACGCCACCAATACCACGGGTAGATTGAATCCAATCAATTAACTAATCTAACCCATAGCCATATAAACCTATATGCTCTCTCTTATTTTACCAATGTGGGACTCTTAACATAATGCGTTCACAAACTTCAAAATCTGAAGAATAAATTAGGAAAATATTCAAGTCTATGAGCAGAAACACACTTGAAGCATGACAAGGCTGGTGAGCAAACTTACTTGGTCCAAAAGGCAGGTGAAAACAGCTCTAACATAGGCAGCAAGTGCTAAAGGCTGAGAGAAGAGTCAATCAATAAGTAGGAGCATAAACGAAACTCAAAAAGCTAGACCAAGGTATCAGAAGTATAGAGCAATTTGATAACCAACATGAAAAAAAAGAGCTATGCTTTGACACTAATTTTATATCTAGCACTAGCAAGACTGAAACGAGGGGTGTTTTTAAACTAACAACCAATGCACCAAAGTTTAACACCAGCTCTCTTCACACATGAGATTAGCATGCAACAGACAGCCTCATGGCATATATACCTGTGATGAAAACACAGTGCACCTAGATATTGCTTCTTCATTCCATCGCACAAACTCTGTCACCACAGTAACGGATATTTGCTGGTGGGAGGATGTCATTGAAGCACCCTTAGAGCGTCCAATTGTCCCAGATGACTCAGAAGATTGCTGGCCTTCAGCGTGCCGCTCCTCCATCTGCAAGATATAAGTAATGTCAAAGAAATGATTTTAATGATTTGACATGGTTTCTGGAGGGGGAATGAAAATGAAAGCATAGGAACTTTTAGAGAAACAATGAAGAAGTATGTTTCAAACCTTAGCTTTGTAAAGTTGTCTGAGAGATGCCTGTTCATACTCGATATAAACATCCTTGTGTGGGAGGAACAGAGATTCTGTTAGGCCTATGATAGCAAGGTATAAAAGTAAACAAACATCAATACCAAAAGGTATTAAAGCAAAATGTTTACATTCTAAAAATGATGCTTGCATTCAGTCTAAGAAGGTTGTGCTTTCACTATGGTCAAACAAGTTTCTCTTCTATAAAGGAGATTCATGAACTCTATTCCTCTCTCTTTCTATCCACTTTTCTAGCCGACCAAATATCAAAATTCAGACTTCCCTTTACCTTTCCTTTTATCTTAACTCTTGACTCTGCAATGAAATCCCTACGTGAACTGAAATATATTGCATGCCCTTCATGTTTACTAGCATTTGGGTGATAAAAAAAGATATCTATATATCTTACATAATAATTGATCCTTAAGTAGGTACCTTCAACATCCAGGTCGCCACACCCAACCCCATGCAAATCTCTAGCAAGCTCCTGTGTCTTCTCATATGCCACAGCCAATAACATGAGATACTGAAAGATTAATAAGAACAGTAAGGTCAACAAGCGATCCCATTACTTGATCAGTAAAAAGGGATTTAAAATGTAATGAATAAATATAAGATTTAAAATAAAATAAAATAAATCAATCACCAGTACAAGTCCACCTTCCTCTATGGAAGGTGGATTAACAAGGGATGGCTTCATTAAGAGTTTCTCTAGAAGATTTGGAACTCGATCTTCTAAAACCCGCTGCATATAAAAATTCATCACTGAATGCATGCCCATAATAGTATGTACTCATAACAGTACAAGATTTAACCTTTAAGTGATAAATAATGCATTTCAAAAAGATTGTATACATATATATGTATGTGTGTGCGTGTGCATGTGCATGTATGCATGCATGCATGTATTTATGTATGTACATAAACAGCTTTAAGAAAGGAGATTGTTTCTTTTCTTGTGAAACTTAGTGCCTTGAAAGAAAATGGAGACAATCATAAGAAAAGAAGATATGTTCAGGGCTAATCTAAGTTCTAAGAAAAGAACATTCATCAGAATGTACCTGGACCAATATTGACATGACATCATTTGGTGAAGGAAATACTGCCGTTATAGTGGCTGCTTCTCTTCTCACAGTGTCTGAATGTAAATCATACTGTGTAAACAGATCAGAAATCAAGAAAAGAAATACATTCACTACATCCATTATTCTATTTGACACCTGTAATTTGCTTGTACACTGAAGAAAGACCCTGGGCAACATTGGTAGGGTTAGGTTGGGATTCCTGATCACCAAAAACTTGTTTGGCATCTGCATTCATGACTGCCAAATCAAACATTGGACGCAATCCAACATAGTGTTGCATGGCACTAGTACCCCTGTTAAACTGCATTTCCAACGAATAGTTATATGAATCATTCTCTTTTTATCATCTGATCACTTTCATTGAAAAACATGATAGCAAAAATAAAATATTTAAAAATGTAAAAGGAACCTATGCAGGAAAAATAATAAGGTCAATGAACTCTAAAATTTTATTCAAAGTCTCTTATTGTATCAATCAGGTTCAACACAACTCTTATCCCCCAAGGTTCAAAACAAGTGAAGAGAGTAAAATGAACTGCTGTTGAAGACAATTTCAGGATAAAATATATTTTTTTCCTGTATTCAGTATCCTATTCCTACCAATGCCTACTTGCTTTAAGCAACCTTTGTCACGTTATTATGGCAGTATGACGCTCTTTTTTACCTAATATTCGATATCTCAGATTATTTATTATTATGTTATAATAATTTAAGATTGGGCTAGGGTGTGCCAAACCACACTAAAAGATTGAATCCAACCAATTACTCAATTAGCTAGTCTAACCCATGACCTTATAAACCCATATACTTTCTCTTATTTTATCAATGTGGGACTCTTAACAATTTATAACAGCAGAAGTAGTATACAAATGTGCAGAACTTACCTTTGACAAAATTTTAGCACATTCTGCCATTGTAGACAACTCCCGTCGTTGAGATGCTGCATCAAAACGGGATAACAATCTGTTTTCCAACTCTGCATAGGGATAATATAGAAAATTTACTTAGAATTTCCTTCAAAATAAATAAAACATAGGAGCTATAATTGGGAAAAAATTGCAAAAAAAAAAAAAAAAAAAAAAAAAAAAGAGCTCATTATAATCATAAAATATTGTCATTTCTCACACACCTGTTAGGTTCAAGGCCAGGAAATATGCTCTCTTCTCTAAAAATATCGGTAAATTTCCATGCATTTTCTTTCCCCAGATCCAACATGAATAGGAGTAATCCATTCATTTCATACCACTACAAAACTATGTCATACTAACCTACTCTCAAAGATCATCATGTCTTACACTTGCAAGCCTTCTCAACCTAGGAACAATTCCACCATTCTAGATTCTACAGTGGGACAAGTATTGATGACAATTTCTATACAAAATCAATGCCTTTTTCGATGATTTTGAGATTTTTCCTTAGCAATGGATGATTTTTCTCAGTATCAGGTATAACATGAGTGAAAAAGGATCACTTTAATTGGTATCAGGGCTAAATGCCAATATGTGATCTTTTGGAACATTAGAAGAAGTTGCTACTAGTAGCAGAATAGTTAAAGCAATAGGTTAGACATTGATGTACCATTGCAGTATTCTTGGAGGTTAGCAACAGCAACTTCCAATCCTCTACTTGCTGTTGCATTCCCAGCCACTGATGAGGCAGCCATACCTTGTCCACCAATATCTTCCTCAGCAAATGATCCTAATATTTTTTATAATACGCACAATCAATTCATGAAACAGTTATTTTCTGTACAGAAAACCTGGGGGTGGAGGATAAAGGAATAATACCTTCTTACATAGCACAAGAGAATAAATGCGTAAGAAACAAATAAAGGGGAACAAACAAAAATGTAAATAATGGATTGGGCAAAAGAAAACTGAGAAAAAAAGAGCTAAGTGTCAAAAAAAAAAAAAAAAAAAGTCAAGGACATAGCATAATCTCATATCTTTATTTCATTCTAGAATAATCAACCATACCCACAAACTGCAGAGGGGTGGCTGTTGTGTCAACTTGAAGCCATAACCAACAATATACAATAAAGCAACTAGAAAGTTGCTCCTAAGCTCACTCTCAATAAAATAGCAATACAACATTATGCACTTTAACAGGATTTCAAACTCCTAAGAGTTATAGCCGAACAAAATAATTATAATATTCAGCCAGTATTCAGAAAATCTGTCTTGTTTCATGTTAGTATACTAAATCTAGTTTTCTCAGGAATTATAATGACCAAGTTTGACAACAGTTCAACTTGTTAAAAAAGAGTTCAAAATAGTGTCAAACATATATGCTAATACAAAACAGAATAGTTGAATATTACAGATAAGCTTAATTTCAAACTTTTGTCCAAATCAAGAGTGGTATAAATGCAACAAGAACAAAAAAAAAAAAAAAAAAAAAAAGGTTTATGAGTTTATCAACAAAGTACAGCGATCTTACTCAATTTCTGTGCAATTGAAGCAGCCTCAGCAACACGACTATCATCAGAGAATAAAGGAGAGAGTTCCATCAAATCTCCAGGACTACCATTAAACTCCATCAAGTACTATAACAAAAGATTAACCATCTATCAATCTATCATCAATAGTGCATTATGTATAAGTAGAAAAGAAGAAGAAGAAGAAGAAGAAGAATGTCCATAAGCAAGGGATTAGCTTAAGAACATGCACCATGAAACAAACTACTGTAAAGAATCAAAGTTACCTTTACAAGGTCTATAGTTTGACTAGCATTTTCTCGCTGTGTATCTGCACTCTGAACCATAAATAAAAATGCAAGAAATACATATAAGAATCCCACATTACAAGAGAAACATACTTAAGCAAGAAAGACAGTAGTTATGTAATAGTCTAATAGATGGCAACAAGAACAAAATTATTGAGTTTGACTGATGTTTACCTGTAGATGATCTCCAATTTTGGCTGCAGTTTGACCCACACTAGATATACGAGAATCCAAACGTGCAAAGCTATCAAACAAGACATCTACACCTTTCTCTAGCTTAATAATAACAAATTGTAATGTCCAATATTCAGCACCATACTAAAGCCAAGCAATTAAGGATTAAAAAAAAAAAAAAAAAAAACTAATAGACAGATAAAAGATATGAATGGAACACCAACTGAATCATTCTTCATCTAGTAAGACAAACATGTTATTATTAATTTATTATTATTGCCACTCTGTATTGTTGTTGTGTATTGTCAGTAAATGAGGGATTTGATTGCCATAGATTTGAATAAATTTAGGAAAGTCATATCCTAGAAATAAAGGAAATGATTAATCAATCCTTGACTTTCTTATCTTTTCTTATTTAAGTTGTATGCTCTATCTTCCTTTTGATTAAGGCAGAAATTATTTTCCTTCTCTCTTCCTTTATAAACTCTTAGCTCTAAAATTACTCCATATTACTACTTCTTAGCCCTTAGCCAAGTTGAGTGACCCTAGCGCAATCTTAGTTTATAACAACTTCTAACTCTTATGGCCTATCAATTTTTCCCCATAACATAATTAATTCAACAGCAGACTGCACATATACAAAAATTAAATGTAATAGGGAACTAAGTGTAAGTTTCAGCCAAGTAAATTCAAAACACTTCAAAGAAAACTTGAATCTCACAGTTAAAACATCTTGCTGGTATGCAACCAGAGAAAAACATAACAAGGCATAACCTCTGAAAGCGTTTTCTTGTGCTTTGAGTCTTGAACAGAAACTTCTTTCTTGAGATTGTTAAGCTTCCCATCAATCTTTCAACCAAACATAGCAGCATCATCAGAACAGTAAGACAGAACATGAAGTCAGACAATCAACAATATGTTTCCTCATTTACCTTCTTTCTGAGATCAATCAATTGCGTACAAGAATTCTTAAATAAATCTAGTAAAGCATCAACTTCCGGGAACAGGGGATTTAACTGCCCTTGAACTGCCTTTCTTCCAGAAACAATGCCATGCCCTTCAGATGAATCTTTTTCTTCATCAGGCAATAGCCCATTCACTAAGTTTCCAAATAATGCATCAAATGAAAACTCCCCCTGAATGATGAAAATAAAGCATGTTACTGGTAATTATTAGGCATGTACTAGCCACTTAACTGTGCAAATCAAATAACTTAAATCCATATTCATCTTAGATGTTCAAGGCATTACCTTAAAGTTATCAATGTTCAGAACAAGTGGATAAGAGTCAGACTTTGACAACCTGTCAGCCTTCATTCCATCTCTAGTCTCTTTCATCTAATCGATGTGTAATACATGAGAATTTTCAAGGTTACATCTATATTAAATCATGAAAGAATTGCTTAAAGATCAAAGTGAAGGTAGTAGTGCAAATATAGTACATATCTGCTAATAAGAGAGTGCCCTCTATTGGGTGTTTGTATCATCCATTAGGAGTATTCAAATAGCACCATGATCAATATCATATTTATAAGGGTCATTAATTTTTTTTAAATATATAAAATGCCGGTCAATGAGAAAAATTTTTTTTTTTACCTCAAGATGGTTTCATTGGAATTAATGTTGTCAATATTAAGCAACCAAGATTAGCAACAAGAGTCAATATTTTACTGATCAGAAAGGCACATAAAATTTCAGAACAGAGAGAATAGGAAATTAAGTGTTATGATTGATTTCATTTATAATCATGAAAGAACTTCAGCTCTTTACTATAATAGTGGGTAGAAGTTCAGGTGATGTGCAAGGCTCTGCCCAACAATTTTCTTTCAAGTTTCAAGTTAAATTAAGTAGAATTAACAGAAATTACCTACAGTTCATCCAATTCCAAGTGATGACATATAACCATCCAACTCAATAATTCACATAATAGGAGAAATCTTTCAATTCTTTAATAAGCAGACATCTATTTTAAAGGCAAAGCAAAACCATCTTTATGACAAACAGGTTCAATATTTGAATTTGTGTTGCTAAATTTTGATAACAAAACCATAAACCAATCATCCAGTATTAGAACCATGTCTCATTTTCCGAGTAAGACATGCATATCATCAAAACACCGAGCACATTCACTCATTCGGAATTCTTGGTAATTAAAGAAACCTCCACTGTGTTGAATCTCATAAAACAATCATAACATAAAATTTCAATTTGGTTTGATGATAAGTATTATTTAACCCCCAAAATTAGGCCATGCAGAGACACTCAAGAAAACAAATAAGAATAAATTGAAATCAAATTCTCACTACTCAGCCGGAGTTACTGATATTTTATACGTATTGTCTATACAATAATTGAAAGAAAAGAATTCAATCTTTACAAGAAAATCAACATTTGAATACAAAGAGGCGAGTTGACTGAGTGTGGTTGGGAACGATGTGAAAAGGGAAAGAAGGTGGCACCTGAAATGATTATTAGGGATTCAGGAGACGAAGGAAGAAGATGAAGATCCAACCAACTGCAAATCAGGAAGGGGAATGAAATCTCAGGAAGAATAACAACTGAAATGCAGGACTGAGTTATGGCTGGTTTGCCCAAAAATATATGAAAGCGGGCATTCACAAAGACTTGGTCTACCATGACCATTTTAAGTTGTAATGGCAGGATAGTAAACTATAAAAAAAGTACAACTTTTTCATTTTTTTTTTAAACTCATGATTTTTATAAAATGGTAACAACTTTGAGAACATATGATTATAATAACTGTCCCTCGCCATTCAATCGTAAGAAGAGTTCTTGTCCTATAACTTTATTCCCAAATAATGATATTTTTAAATATATTTTTTCAAATAAGAATACTTTGTAACTTAAAATTGACTTAAGAGAAGTTTTACATATGTAGATATATAAATTTTGATTTACGTGTTTAGATTGACGTTATTTTGGCTCTGTTTGGCAGAACTTATTTAGGAGCTTATAGTTTATTTTAAGCTACTTATAAGCTATAAGCTCTGTTTGGTAATGTTCCTAAAATAAGCTCCTACCTTAAAGGTATCGTTTCAAAATAAGTTCATAGCTTCCTAACTTTTTTTTTCCCATCTTTATCCTTATTATTTTAAAGAATGACATAATTTACCCTTTCCAATTAAAACTATTTTCTCTTCCCCTTTATCCGCAACTTTTACGGCAAATATTATTATTATTATTATTATTATTATTATTATTAAGAGATTTGCAATAATATTGATACTTCATTATGATATGCTAGATCATGATTATGATAATAATTTTATTTCAAAATGTTAATTTTTTTTTAAAAAAAATAAAATATTAAATTTTAATATGTAAACAAACTAATTTAAATTTTATGAAAATGTCCTTTTTAATTTTTTTACATTTATCAGCTTATCAAAAAGCTAATTTTACCAAACACTTTCAAACATAACAGCTAACTTATTAAACTCTTCAGTTTTCAGTTCCGAGCTTATAACTTTTCAGTTTTCAATTCCTTTTCAGCTTTCAGCTCCTAACTTATACCTTTTCAGCTAGGTTTGCCAAATAAGAGCATATATATATATATATATATATATATATATATATATATAACATTTGAAAATTGTTGATTAAAAAAAAGAGATATGTCAAATTTTCTTCTACCCTATTATATGATAAGGTGTTTTTTTTTGGATTAAAACAATAAAACATAATAAATAACATGTCACTAAAAGGTTGATACTTGTCATTATGAATCTAAACATTTTACAAACAAATTGCCCCAATGTGATTATGGCAACATAAACATCATCATCAGATGCTATATATCTTTGTAACAATACATAGATGGAAGAAAGCAGGCCAGGCAGCAGCAAGGATCAAGCTTTGCGGACTATGATCCTCCTTTCTCGTTTGTACTCAACCTCGTCTCTTTGATGCATAATCAACAGAGCTCTTCTTATCTGCCAACGTTAACAAACAAGAGGTCGTTGCTAAAAGTCTAAAAACAAAATCAAATATAAATAATAATATATGAAGCAGCATCCCAAGAATCTTACAATAGATTCATTCATGCCCATCCTAGAAAGCTCATCAATTAGCCGTCTCTCGGATATGTGGCTCCCGATTCCCATCCTTCTCTTTATCTGGGTTTCTGCTTGCTGTTCATCATTAAAAGGAAGGGATGAGATGAACTAAAACAACAGCAGAACAGATAGATATTTGATCCATTATAATACCTTTATCTCATTTGCCATCTCGGGCGTCAGATTTATGTGTTGGTTAATTCCAGATTTTGCAGCATCCATGGTAGAATTGTTGAATAGTCTAATAGCTTCCGACACATGGTTCTCGTTTGCTACTTGGGAACTAAAACCAGAACCCAAAACAAACACAATTCAGTCAAATGAACAAAACCTTTATGATCCAAACCAAGAAATAATAAACTGTAAACTACGAGGCTATCAAGTTAAAGTTATTCAGATATTCACTCCATCTACTTACAGTCTCATTCTTGCAAGAGCTTCACTCAGCCTTACAATAGCTTCAAGTTGCCTCACAGTAATTGGTATTGCAGCTGCCTCCCCAGCTTCATTTGCTTGCCGCCTCATATCCTATGACAGATAAACCAAGTAACATACACAATTTAGCATTTACTAAAGCTAATCTAATCTATGGCAACTCCACTAATAAATGCAATATCACATAATAGTCAGCTAGCTCTCTTCTACAGGCCTAATCAAGATACAATCCAAGATGTAAGTTTGTCACTAAATCAAGTAATGGGATCTACATGTCCAGATCACCATCAAGTATATATGCTTTCATATTTTATGGCTGCCATACATGAAAAGACTAAGGATCGAAGATTGATAGCACCACTAAATTCACAAATTGAATGTCTGGTGGCAATCTAACTACTTTTGGAATAGTATATCTAGAATAATCATGAATATGAAAAAGCCTATTTACCTGTCTAATTTTGACATAACTCTCCTGCAGCATTGAAGCTGCTGAATCTGATAGCCTGGGGTAACACATAGTTCGACAATAGTGTATATACCTGCATAAAGAAACTCAATTGCCTCAGCATTAATCAACTAATACAAGAAACTTTTGCTAGAAATAAATCAATTGAAAAGCTTCACTAAGGCTAAACCTTTTCAACCAGTTATCCTCCTTAGTAGTTCTTGGGTCACCCGAGCTTGCATCAGCAGATACATGAACTCTTACAATATGGCTAGCAATATTCTGTAAAGGGAGAACATCCAAGTAAGATGCTACAAAATTTTAACCATGCAACACCCCCACTAGAACGAGTTTCATATTCAATGGAGGAGGAATGAGAGAGATCCTAATAATTTACTGTGATTTACTGAAAAGTTCAACTCACTTCACAAAAAGAGTACAATGCAGCGTGTAACTTTAACTAAGTTAACTCCATACTGTAAATTTTGTTTCATCTAACCACATAATCAATAAAAGTTGTAATCCTACCTTGTCTTGACTGTACATCCTGATGTCTTTTACAATGAAAATCATATCAAATCTTGAAAGAATTGTTGTCTGCAAATCGATGTTATCTTGTGCAGTCTGTAATTAGAAGCTACTGATCAGTATACTTGTATCAGATTCTTAAATGACAGAAATTATAATCAAATTTCAAAATGATAAGGTGAGGTCCTAGACCTTAAGATCATCGTAGCGCCCGGATGGAGGATTAGCTGCAGCAAGCACTGAGGTTCTTGAATTGAGGACCGTTGTTATTCCTGCTTTGGCAATGGAAATGGTTTGCTGCTCCATCGCTTCATGAATAGCAACCCTATGCCACAGAGAATGCTCTTAAAAACTCTGATGAGAGAAGGAGTCAAGAAAATATGTCAAACCTAATTGTAAGGTAATTACCTATCTTCAGCCCTCATTTTGTCAAACTCATCAATACAGACAACACCCCCATCTGCTAAGACCATGGCTCCTCCTTCTAGGTAAAACTCACGCTATTGTACATAAAATTCAAAAAAAAAAATTGAACTTGAGAAAAACATTCACAATAATGAGATATAGACTATAAAAAAACACAAAAAAGTGAGAAACTTACAGAGCTATTGTCTCTGATTACAGAAGCTGTAAGACCAGCAGCTGATGATCCTTTTCCAGATGTATATACAGCGACTGGAGCCGTTTTCTCAACAAATTTCAGAAACTTGAAGGGAAAAAGAAGAAAAATCAGAGCCTCATTCATGCAAGTGGAAAAAATGACTTAGGGAGAAGATGATATTGTTAAATAATTTGCTCTAACATCAATAAATATTTATAGAACAAAGAATGAGTAACGCTTCTCATTATAACTGAAAACATGTCTGACCTGTGATTTGGCAGTAGAGGGATCTCCCAACAGCAACACATTAATATCACCTCTTAATTTTACACCATCTGGCAAGATCTACAAAAGCAGGAGGAAATATTTTATGATGATTAGAGAAACCAAGCAATAACAGACAGCTGATATCATACCTTCCTTGATCCCCCAAACAAAAGACAGGCTATAGCCTTCTTGACATCATCATGGCCAAATATTGAAGGAGCAATCTTGGAGCATATTTTATCATAAGCATTACTATCTGATGCAAATTTCTTGAATTCTTCTATCTGCATAAATAAAGAGCATTATTTCAAGGGGAAAAAGATAAAGCGCAGAAGGACAAAAGGATACAGCTGCTGAGCTAAATTTTTTTCCTCAATTATGGTTCTGTATAAACATGCTACTCCATATATCATAAGAAATCAGTTCTAAGTTCATCGTTGCATAGATAATTGGACAAGTTCAGACCTAACTTTTGGTTAGGTCTGACAGTTACCTCATCTGTTGTGAAGTTCGCTGGACCTCGAGAATTAGACTCACTAGTATCCTCCATTCCAACCACCCTTATATATGGTTGTCTAACAGCAACAGCTCCTTTATGACTGCATCCAAATACAAATATGAAAAATTGAAACTGGAGTGGAAGCGACACATGAATTACAATGATAAAATGCAGTTCACATCATGTAAATTCTTACGATGTGGATGAGTTAGCAGCTTGAAAGATACTGTAAATTCCCATTATTGTGAGCCTCGTGCCCGGCACAATAGTTTGCACAAGATGACGATCTACAGATAGGAGCATGTTCCTTGGCAATTCACCAGTGGGTACATCCTAGGATTACAACATAATGTTTTACATCATAGCAATCAATAAGAAAATGCAAACTTGATAAAGACATGGATAAATATCAAGCCTCTCTTCATCAAATGAGCAGTTACCTCTGGATTCTCCTGCAATTTCAGTGTCTGTTGATCAACATACTTGCTTTTGTCAGGAACCACTATCCATGGATCAATTGGACATGGGTCTTCACCAGTCTGCAAAAATGGGTCCAATCAGTGTAATTACACACATATTACTATAGTAACAAGAAAAAAGGAATCAGCTGAAGTTGTCAAAAACCTGAGGCACATGATCACAGGAACGTGGAACAATGGCTCCACCAAGCCCTGGGCGACATGGAACAACCTTCACATTTTTGCAATTCTTACATAACAGGGTAACATAAGTTGCCTTCGCCTTGGTCCTTGA